GTACTGTCTCTTAAGCTTTTCCCCTCCAGGCTAGGGTTCTATCACTTGATCCTGGCATTTTGATGGTTCACTGGAGGCAAGAGTCTCACAGACTTTTCTGTCTGGCCTGGCTTTGAACATGGATTTCAGATCTGAGTCCCCTACGATTACAGGCATGAAGCTAGATGCCGATCTCTCTCCTCTCTCCTCCCTCCCCTTTTCCTTCCCTTCTCTCTCTCTTCTCTTTCTTTTTGTTCTTTCTTTCCTTTTTTTTTTTTTAAATCAGTTGCGGGACTTGAACTCTGGGCCTTAGCACTGCTCCTCAGCTCTTCAGCTCAATGTAAGCGCTCTACCACTTGAGCCACAGCGCCACTTCTGGTTTTCTGGTAGTTTATTGGCGATAAGAGTCTCATGGACTTTTCTGCCTGGGCTGCATTGAACCGTGATCCTTACATCTCAGCCTCCTGAGTAGCTAGGATTACAGGTGTGAGCCACAGATGCCTGGCTGGAGGCCTGTATTTTAATAGAAAATTGAGATGTCTGCCTAGTGCTATTTGGAGATGAAGTTTAGTGCAGTGAGGTCAAGATCCCTACCCTTCTCTCCTCCCATGCTCTCTGGGCTCAGCCTCATGGGGCTCTTGGCTGTGGTTTCTGGAGTAACCCATGTCTCAGGACCTTTGCACAGGCTGCTCCTTCTGTCTGCAGGACCTTCCCTCCCCGTCCACGTAGCTCTCTCCTACCTCCTTCATCTTTGTTCAAACATCACCTTCTTGGCATTTGCTACGTTATTTAAAAATGTACCCAACACTCTCCACCCACTAGCTTTCTATTTCTATTTACTTATTTCTTTTCTACCACCCCCACTTGACCATTAGTTCCAAAAGGAGAGTTTTTTTTCTCTTTTCTTCTCTCCCTCCCTTTCTCCCCCATCCCCTTCTTCCCTTCTCTTCCTTTCCTCCTTTTGAAAATTGGCAGGCTGGGAATCGAACCCAGGACCTCTGAGCATGCTGGGCAATGAGCTCACTCAGCCACGCCCCTTAACCCAGAGCCACGCCCCCACTAGCCAGCCACACCTCATAGCAGCTAAGTCTTCCAGGCCACACTCCGTGTTTAGCCACACCCCTAGGTCTGAGCCATGCCCCCAGTCCTAGGACATTTCCTGGGCTGGTAATCAGAGATTCATAGTTATCTCCATGGACGGCTAACTAAGTGACAATTACTATGTCATCAGCAATAATGGGAATGGCAGAGCAAATGCTGGTGGCTCACACCTGTAATCCTAGCTAGTCAGTAGGCCGAGATCTGAGGATCACGGTTCAAAGCCTTCAAACTGCCAGGACTGGCAGGAAAGTCTGTGAGACTCATCTCCAACGAACCACCAGAAAGCCCTAAGTGGCGCTGTGGCTCAAGTGGAAGAGTGCTTGCCTTGAGCTGAAGAGCTGAGGGCAGGCCCAGAGTTCAAGCCCCATGACTGACAAGAAAAATAAGAAGAAGGGAATGGCAAATATTTATGCTCAGCACTCACTCTATCTATCTATACACACACACATATATACATATATTTCAGCCTCCTGCGTAGTTATGATGAAAGCCATGAGCCACAGGTGCCTAGCTATACTGTATAATTTTAAATGGTGCCAAGGATTGAACCCAGGGCCTTGTGCACATTCAGCCCATACTGTGCCAGTAAGCCACACCCCGGCCTCAGGAGCTTTTTTTTTTTCCTTTCCTTTACCAGCACTGGGCTTAGAATCCAGAAACATGTGTTTGCTAGGCAGGTGCTGAACTGATGAGACACGTCCCCAGCTGTTTTGCTTTTGTGATTTTTCAGATGAGGTCTTGTGGTTTTGCCTGATCCCGTTCAGATTCCCAGCCTCCTGTTTCCACTTTTTGCACAGATGGAGTGACAGGTGTTGTATCGCCGCACCCCGAGCTGACTGGTGGAGATGGGGTGTCCAGCTGCTTTTCATCCCATAGCCTCATTCAGTCCTGAATCTTCACTTCTCCATTCTCGAAGGCGGCCAGCCTCACAGAGGTAAAGGCACTTTCCCAATACACACAGTGGCCGAGGGCAGAGCTGTCATTCAAACTCAAGCAGCCGGGCTGCAAGGAGGCAGTTCCCACAATGGGGCACACTTCTGGGAGCACTAGTTTCTCTGAGGATGTGTGTGTGTGTGTGTGTGTCCTGGGGTTTGAACTCAGGACCTGAGTGCTGTCCCTGAGCTTTTTTTTCCCACTCAAGGCTGGAGCTCTACCACTTAAGTTACAACTCCACTTGCAGCTTTTTGCTCCTTCATTGGCGATGAGTCTTCTGGGCTTTCCTTCTCAGGCTGGCTTTGCACTGTGATCCTCAGATCTCAGCCTCCTGAGTAGCTAGGATGAGGCGCGTGGGCTTGTAGAGAATGAGGAGCAGCGTCAGCGGCGAGTGGGGCTGGCTCTCCCTGTGTGGGGCGGAGGTGTGATTGACAGGCGTGGTCCTCCCCACACCACAGGTGCCCTCCTCCCCACTGCAGAAGCGGAGGTCCAGGGCTGAAGTCTCCTCTCCAAGGCCACACAGCTGGAGACAGCAAGCTGGCCTTCCCACCTGGAATCAGGAAGAAGGGGGAGCGGGCAGGGGGGTCCTTAAGTCTCTCACAAACCTCAAAGAATTGGAAGTGGAGCTGTGGCTCAAGTGGTAGAAAACAGCCTTGAGGAAAGAAAGCTCTGGGACTGAGTCAGCCTCCGAGTTCAAGCCCCAGGACTGGCACACATAATACACACCCCAAGTTCTTTTCTCATTCTGTGGCTCAAGTGGCAGAGTGCGGCGGAGCAGGCCAGCTCAGGGAGCTCCGCGAGGCCCTGAGTTCAGCCTCCCTTATGGCCTAATCCACCAGTGGACTCAAATAAGTTTGAAGAGCTGGGCGTGGCCATTGTGGGGGGTGTGGCCAAGGGGGCGTGGCTCCGTGGTGAATCCCATACTTGCGCATACACACAGAATCAACACATTGTCTGGGTTTCCTCACCTACCGTGGTGGTGCTGAGGCCGAAAGGAAAGGAAGGGCTGGGAGGAAGCGCGTGTGTCCGAGTGAAGTGTGTTCCTACAGCGGCTCAGCCGGGCGTGGGGCCTGGGATCGTGGGTGGGGTGGGAGTGAGGGCTGGCATTCTGGCCCTTTCCAGCAGCTAAGAAATGAAACTACAAATTCAGATGTAGTTGCTTGTTTCTGTAAGCGCAGCTTTTCTCCGGGATGCCTACCAGTGCTTGAACCACCGCCACCACGCCACTGCTTGGGTGCTGGGCTCCAGGGGGAAAGAAGCCCAAGAACCAGGTATGTGGGGTGCCCACTTGGCATCCAGCACTCAGGAGGCTGAGGCGGGAGGACGCCAAGGTCAAGGCGTCTGAGAAAGAAGGCATTCTGGGGACAAGGGGGACCACGGCCTGGGCACCTGCCACCTCTGCTGTGCCCGTAGCTCTGTAGCTGAGCCACGTTAGTTCCCATCCCACGACCATCTGCCTACATGTGACTAACACCGGGTACCAACGCCTGTAGACCTTTGCCATCTACATATGCCACCGGCCACAAGCACCCGCAGGGCCTGAGCATCTGATCTGTGGCTAGAGGTGTGTTTGGTGTTGGTACAGAAGCTTGAACTCAGGACATTGCACTTTTTGCTTGGCTTTTTTTTTTTTTTCTCAACGTTGGCACTCTACCACTTGAGCCACAGCTCGACTTCTGGCTGTTTGGTGGTCAATTGGACATAACAGTGTCACAGACTTTCCTGCCTGGGCCGGCTTCCAACTGTATAACCCTTAGAACTCAGCCTCCTGAGTAGCTGGGATTACAGGTGTGAGCCACCATACCCAGCCCCTTCGGTGACTTCTCATGAAAGCTTTTCAAATCCTTTGTAGCCTGGCTCAGTGGTGTAACGCTTTAGAGGTACAAAGCCCTGGGTTCTCTCCTTAGTACCGTACAGACCAAGACTTAAAAAAAACCAAATCCAACCCCAAACAAGACTCAAACCACACGACAGCAAACAGGTTGCTTTAAGCCTGTGTAATTACATATTTTACAATAAAACTAACTGCTCATAAAACAAACGCAGAGTAAAAGCTTTGGTGGTCTGTTAAGCAGGGGAGGGCATCCACCTGGGGCAGGGCTCCCCTCTTCAAGCTGAAATTGTGGTTGTGGCCTGGCTAAGCCGGTGATACCGCAGCCTCAAGCGGAAACAAAGATGAGCTCAGGCCACTGGTCTGAACGTTTGGATCCGGTTAGGATGGCCTGAAGCTAGCTACCACCTGCTCTTTTCCCCCTCTAGCCCCCCCTCCTGCCTTCTTCCCACCCCTCTCAACCCACACCAAGCCCCCAAACAGATTCTCAGGACCGCTCCCCCAAGGTTTTGCATTAAGTCTTTAATGTTGTCACGCACTTCAATGACAATCAACACACTTTGGTCTAGTGTCGGCAGTGGCAACTTACAATGAGAGGGAAGGTCTGCGCCCCACCTGGCCCGCAGAGGATGGACGGACAGACATCTCTGGGGCAATCCCCCACCCCAAATGTCCTTCCCCATGGTCCACAGAGCGGCAGCCGCGTGGCCCCCGTACTTGTGTCCGCCAGCTTCACAAGAAATTAGAAAAAGCTATTTACGCACGCTCCAGAATGCTCCTGAAATCAGAAGCAAAGACCCTTTTATCAAAAGGGGTCACAGCCGGGCGCTGTGCAAAATCCAGGAAGGGTCAAGGTCCCTTGGAGAGAGATAAAAGAGTCCAACAGAGAACACGCACCCCAGGCCCTGGACAGCCCAGGGTGCCCAAGGATTGCATCAGGGACAAAGACATCCCAAAAGTCAGCCCAGATGTGGAGGTTGAGGGGACCCCTGCTATGGCCGGGACCCAGGCCCTGCTGGCCTGAGGTATCGCTTGAGCGGGAGCCAGGCAGTTTTCCATCTGCGGTGACCAACCACAGACAAAGGGAGGGAGTCCCCGGCAGGGCAGGGCAGGGCAGGGCAGGGCAGGGCAGGGCAGGGCAGGGCAGGGCAGGGCAGGGGTGACACGTGTGGGCTCACAGGAATGAATCACACGACACGACTGGGTACAGGGGGGCTCCGGGGAGGAGCAGAGGGTGGCCTGGTCCCTTCCTGCGGCTCCCACCGCCTCCGCCCTAGCGCTCGAAAAACCACCGGAAGTCTGGTGCGGACTTTGAAAGAGTGTAATATATTCTCTGGAAAACATTGAGTCCGAAAGCCTCCCCGGGCCCTCCCGCCCTGGGAGGGGGGGCTGCTCCCGGTGCCCCAGTGCTCCCCCAATGGTACGGGGGTGCCATGCAGGAGTCTGGCAAGGTCCCTGGTGGGGCCCGGGGTGAGCGACTATATGGGCAGAACCTGCTCCAGGACGGTCCTGGACGTCTGCGGGATCCTTTCGGGGAAGACCACTTCGAACTCGATGATGAGGTCCCCTCGCTTCTCGGGCGTTTTGGGGAGAGGGAGGCCTTCTCCGGGGACTTTCCGCCGCATGCCAGGTCTGATGACATCTTTGAATACCACGGGGATGGTCCTGCCGTCCAGAGTGGGGACGCTCACCGTGCAGCCGCAGAGAGCCTTGGGAAGGAAGCAACAGGAGGTGGGCATTGGAGGGAAGCCAGCTGGGGGGGGAGGGGATCCGTGGCCGCCCCTGCAGGTGACACCGCGCGCTCCTTACCTCTCGGAGGCTGATCCTGGCTGGATACACCACGTCGGAGCCGTCCCGTTTGAAGATGTTGTGGGGCTTGTCCTTTAAAACAAAGACAATGTCGGCGGGGATGTTGCTGGAGGTCTGGTCCCCTTCCTTGGGGAAGGTGATCTTGGTCCCTTCTTTCCACCCTCTCTTCACTTCGATGGTCAAGATCTTGTCTTCGTTCCGGATGCTTTTGCCGTCGGGGTTGAGGCGCTTGTGGGAGATTTTCATCTTCTTGGTGCAGCCGCTGTAGATCTCTTCCAGGGAGACGCGGAGGTCGTGGGTGACGGGGGGATCTTGCTTCTTCCGTGTGGGCTCTTGGGTAGGGCGTGAGCGGCTCCCGAAGTTCATGTTGGTAAAGCCCCCGATGCCCATGGGGAAGGCGGAGAACGGGTCGTCCACGTCCATGCCTTCCTCCCCGTTCCGCTGGCCAAAGAAGGTGTCAAAGGGGTTCCTGCCTCCGAAGATCTCGGCAAACATGGCGTGGGGGTCTCCGTGGAATGTGTAGCTGAAAGATGTGCCATTGGCGCCGCCGCCGCCGCCGCTGGGGCCGCCACCTTTGAGGCCTGCAGGGCAACAACCACGAGTGAGGCCCAGCCTCTTGGGGTAGACAGACAGCTAGGGGATCATGGTCCAAGGAGCAAAGGCTCTTAAGACCCAGCCTAGTAGCCAGCAGGGTGAGGGGGTGGTCACCCCTCCCTTTTCTCCCAGCTATGTGGGAGGATTGAGGTAGGAGGACCAATCCCCAAGGCCAGACCTAGGCCTACTTGAAAACCTTGAGCCAAGAGCTGGTGGGTCTCCACTGTAATCCCGACTACTCAGAGGCTAATACCTGAGGGTCAAGGTTAAAGCCAGTCAGGGCGTGAAAATCCCCAGAACTTTCACTTCCAATTAAGCAGCAAGAAGCCAGAAGTTGAGGTAAGGCTCGAGTAGTACAACCCCAGCCCTGAGTGGAAAACCTAAGCAAGCCAGTAAGACTTTGAATTCAAGCCCCAGTGTAAGCAGAGAGAGACAACAAACAAAAATCAACCAATGAAAAAAAAGCAACAGGGGGTTCAGGCATGGCACATGGGGAAGTGTGGAAGGCCCAGAGTTCAAATCCCAGGAACAGCCAAAAAACCGCAACACCCCAAAAACAAAAGCAAAAGCCAGTCAGCCGACAACCAAAAAAAACAAAACAAAGCCGGGCGCTGGTGGCTCACGCCTGTAATCCTAGCTACTCAGGAGGCTGAGATCTGAGGATCGCGGTTCAAAGCCAGCCCGGGCAGGA